CTACTCCCGTAAAGATTTACACCCTTGGAAACCCTGTACAGGGTCGCTATGGGTCAGAACCGACTCGACGGCACTTAACAACAACAACAACAACTGTGCATAGCAAGTTTCAGAGTCTCTTCTATTTTGTTTTTTTCTTTCTTTCTTGTCTTTTTAATGACTTCTTGCTTTCTTCCTGTATGATGTTAGTGTCATCCTACATAAAATCTGTTCTTGAGACTGTCTATAAATTCAGGTAGGATATGTTTGATATCTTGACTGCTGCTTCCATTACAGTTGATTGTGGATCCATGCAAAGTAAAGTCTCTTTGACAACTTCAGTTTTTCTCCATTTACCATGATGTTATCCCAGTTGTGAGGGTTTTATTTTCTTTACTACACTGAACTCATATTTTGACTCTTGTGGACTTGTTTTTAATTTTCTTCAGCTTCAGCCTGAACTTGCGTATGAGTAATTGATGTTCTATTCCACAGTCGGCTCTTGGGCTGTTTTCACTGATGATATTGAGCTTTTCACTGTCTATTCTTACAGATGTAGTCAGTTTGATTCCTATTTATTCCATTTGGTGAAGTCCATGTGTATAATCACCATTTGTGTTTCAAAAAGTTATTTGCACTGAGAAGCAGTGGCAGAGAAATGGCAGCAGCAGAACCAGGAGGTAGATATGAGGTGGTACAATGAGCTTCCCAGTCCACAGACGGTCACAGTGGATGTTGCTGACTCACGGAGCTAGAGATCTGAGTGCCTTAGGGCAGGAGGCTTCCTCGCCAGAGAAGGGTATCCCTTAGTACTTGTTGGTGGACCTAGGCTTGAGGACCCATGTAGGGAGAGCTGAATGATTTAATGGTGAAATGGGATGCCCCTGGGCACTTATCAATGGAACTAAAGAGCTTTGTAACACTTGCCTGAGCAGAGCAGAGGCCAGACTGAGAAGCTGGTGGCCAGAGAGAGGCCTGCCTGTGGGCCTGGCTAGAAGAGGCATTCTGATCAAAGAACTGTAGTCATTCATGATCTGGTTTCCGTTACCTGTTACTTCCCTAATAAACCCCAATAACTATGAGTCTGGTCTGTTAGTTCTCTGTGGCCTGCCAGTGCAATGAATTCTTAAACCCAGCAGAGAAGTGGAGAGTGCTTTGGGAGGGACAGATGGTACCATCAGAATCGGTGAAAAAGTTGGAGGGTAGAGGTATGTTGGACCTTCACTTCATCGCTATCAGCCTTAACCTGTTGATGCTGATGTTTCTCCTCCCGCTTTGTGAAGTTAGACAAAGAAGTCTGACACTCCTATGAGGCCATTTTTATAATCTGAACCTTCTTTTTTTTTTTTCTGCTGTGATCCATAAGTTTTTTTTGTTTTTTGTTTTTTTTTGAAGGTTTTTATTGTGGATTGAGTGAAAGTTTACAGGGCACATCATCAGTTTCACATTCAACCATTCATATGACTTGTTTCATTACATTGATTATAATCCCCTCCATACATCATCAGTTAACAGTGTTTCTCTCTATCCTCTTTAGCTTTTTGGGGAGGGGGCGGAAAAACTTTGCCTTTTTGGAATTTACAGCCTCGGCTTTTAGGGAAGGTTTTTACATTTATCTGTGGATATCCAGGGCTCATGTTTGCAATTACTAACAAGCATAACTGAATAATCAGATGAGGGACAGTTTGCTATGTCTGCTAGGTGGCTAAAGTCTGTTCCTCAGAGCCTATGGTTTGGACGGTCTGCAACGCTTGGGCCCACAGGGACTTGAACTCCTGACCGGGTCTGCACGGTCTGCATCAGATTCCCCCTTATTTATTATTTGTTTAAGGGACGCTGCCTGTCTTAGGCGGTCAGTGCGAATTCCTCCATCTTACCTGTCATCGAAACTCTTTGCAGCATGGCAATGGCTCTGTCTTAGGTTGCCAAGGTTCCATGTGATCCTTACCTGTCTCTATATTGCCCCCGTTTTTGATAGCCAGTGTCTAAATTGCCTGTCCCTATTAACCCAGTACACTGAGGAAGCAAGTTATAGGGTTATTGGGAGTCCTGATATGATGCTGTAGAATAATCACTGGCCTGCTAACCACTGGGTAAGAGGTTCGAACTCACAAGCCACACTTCTGAAACTCTATACAGGGTTGCTATGAATCTGAGCCAACTTGACAGCCCTTACAGCAACAACAACAATGGGATAATGCATATAAAAAACATTTAGCACAGCCATACAGAAGATCATTTAGCATAGAATCTTAATAAATAATTAGGTTCTTGAAACTTAAAATATTGCTAGGGCGTGCTAGTGGCTCAGGGTAGTTTTTTTAGTAGTCACCTGACTGCTGATCAATCAGAGCCAATTAAAGAGCCACAGATTTGCTTGTTGTTTTTAACTAGAGAATATTTTAAAGGAAGTGAATGTTTAATTTCCAATTAGGGTATATTTAATAGGCAATACTGTCTTTAATCATATCAAATCTCTAGTCAGGAAACAATGTGTTTAATATACAAAGTGTGTATTTGGAGTCCTGGTATGGCACTGGCAGGATAATGCACTGGACCAAAAGGTTGGTTTGAACAACCAAGTAGGAGGTTCAAACCCACCGGCTGCTCCTTGGACACCCTAGACTGGGTTTTATGAGTCGTAACTTACTCAACAGCGCTTAACAACAACAATAAGAACAGTCGTCAGTTTCTAGAATACAAATAGGTATTTAAAACTATATTTTATATTCTTCATATTTGTTTCATTGTTCTATGCCTGTGTTAGAAACTTTGTCTTTTCTTCTTGCTATCCTCCACAAGGAGTCCTGGTGTGGAGCTGTGGGTTGATGTGCTGGACTGCAAGGTCAGTTTGAACCGTAAGGTCGGCGGTTCAAGCTCACTACCTGCTCCTCGGAAACCCTTTACAGGGTCGCTATGAGTTGGAACCGATTCAGTGGCACTCAACAACAATAACCTCTCACAAATAAAAGACTAGTTGAGTTGTGAGGAATCATTAGCAATGTCTGTAGTTCAATAGGGGATTCTTTAACCCTATTGCTCTAAGGTTTATGGTAGGCTTTTTTGGTTTTGTTTCAACTATTTTGTGAATTGGGTGAAAGTTTACAGAGTAGATAATCAGTTTCACACTCAACAAATTATACATTCTTTGTTACAGAGAATTTTAGATTTGACAACCTTAAGCACCTAACTGAAAATGACAGGCAGCTCCTAGGTTACACAGTGAGCTCAGTCCACACTGTACATATTGACTGTGCACACATGGAGTCAGTAGAGTCAGACTCAATTTGATAGTAACAGGGATGAAATAGCTTCTCGACTTTCAAATGATTTCTCATTTGAAAACAAAATAATTCACGAGGAGGAAATAATGTTTATATCCATGAAAGAAACTGTCGCTGTGTTAGCACTTTGCTGGTGTTGGAAATGAATGTAGATTCTAAAACTGACTAAAGCAGCTAATGGATAGGGCTTTCCAGTCTTGTTTTTGAACAAGTGTTCATAGCCCTTCAATGATTTGCCTCGATTGCAGGTATGATTTTGTTATTGTTTGTTAAGTGCCAACTCATGTGACCTTGTATAGGATTTCCAAGGAGAGCTGATGGGTTTGAATCACCAACCATGTAGTTAAGCAGTCTAATGCTTATCCTACAGTGCCATATAAGGACTCCAGTGATATAATATGATAGATGTTTTTTGGTAGTCTTGATGTAGCACTGTGGGCTAATGAGTCAGACTGCAAGGTCAGTGGTTCACGCTCACCAGCTGCTCCTTGGAAACCCTACACAGGGTCGCTATGGGTCGGACGACTCAACGGCACTTAACAACAACTTAACAAGTCTTGGTAATCTCTTCATTTTCATTAGGTATAAAAGGAATCTTGGCTGGGGGCTTTCAGAATCTTCCTAGAAAACTTACACTGGCCTGGCCTTAGTGGACGGAGCTTTTTTTCATGAGATAGTATAAATGTACTGTCTTTATGACTTCAGTAGGAGTCCTGGTGTGGTGCTATAGGATAATCACTGGACCACAAAGTCAATTTGAAGCACAAGTTGGTGGTGCGAACCCACCAGCTGCTCCTTGGAAACCCTGTACAGGGTCACTATGATTCAGAACTGACACAACGGCTCTTAACAACAACTTCAATAAGAGATCATACTTTATATTTCACATTTGATTTTTTTTTTATTGTGAATTATGTGATAGTTTACATGGGAGAACATTAGTTTTACATTCATTCTATCATATATCGTTTCATTGCCACGATTACAATCCCCTCCATGCATCATCAACCAACCAAAGGGTATACCCTGCAAGTCTGCCCGCACCCCCAGTTGTCAACACACAGCCCCTCTCCCTCTCTGGATCTCAAGTCCCCAGCTGCTCCATCTCTCCTCGTCATCGTCTCTGCCTCCATCTGAGACATCACTGCTTCTCTGGGTAGGGTCCTGCTCTCCGCTCTTCTCCGTTGATGGTCCTAGGGACCTCCGCTCCTAGACTGCAAAGTTAATCACTCCCCTTCTTGCTATAAAACGTCTTCCTTTATCCAACCCTCACAAGCAGTCCTGATAACAATTATTTACTATTGTATCACAAGAGACCTATCTGCATTTCCTTTCATCAGCCCCGCCCAGACAGACTGGATACTATTCAGTGGAGATTCTACCTTCCTCCACGCCCTCTGGATTTAGGTTCCCTCTTGAAAGCTTGTAAACCAGCCACTTCTTGCCTTTGTAGCTGCGCCCCCCCACCCCCACCCATTTTGGTAGCCAATGTCCAAGTTGCCCATCCCTCACATTTGATCTTTTCACTTTTATCTATTTTTATTTAGATACATCTAGAAATTTTTAATATTTAACAGAAATAAATACTATCATGTCAATAGTAGATTGATCTATTTTCATTCTCTGGATTCTCCAGTGCATGCAGCTACTTTAACTGCTATAAATAGAAAGTTTGCTGGTTCTACTTTATTCTTTTAGTTTTATTAACTGTAATTATTGTTGGGTGCCATCGAGTTGATTCCATCTCACAGCAGCCGCACATAACAGAGCAGAACTACTCCAAAGGCTTTCCTAGACTGAAATCTTTATGGGACCAGATCACTGGATCTTTCTCCTTTGGAGAAGCTGGTGGGTTTGAACTGCTGAGCTTTTGACAATAGTACCTTGTTTTTGTTAGTTGCTATGGAGCCAATTCTCACTCATGGTGATCCCATGTGTGCAGAGTAGAAATGTCTCAGGGTTTTCAAGGCTGTGACCTTTTGGAAGCAGATCACCAACCCTGTCTGCTAATTTTTAATGCGTTCTTACACTCATAATCTTATTTGAATCTATACTGTTCCTTTGGTTGATAAGGTGGAAATTCCACTCATTTGAGTAGTGAGAAAATAAGCACACAGAAAGATGATGTTAATCACAAAGGTCCTGGCAAGTTAGTGGAGCGTCTGGTCCTAAAATCCACATCTAGGGACTCTCAGCCTTGTGCTTTTTAAAGAACACATTTATAAACAATCCACAGCTTGTTTGAACATACTCAACATGCTGAAGTTCTCAAAAATACTTTTCTTAAGGAGGATAAGTCTCCCCCTCCTCCACTCAGTCTTGCATATGTGATTAATTAGCTTAGCAAACCCTTCCTTCCTTTGGGTATTACAAAGGTAAACTTCAGCTTGGGCTATTTCTGAATGTAGTGCCTCTGGAATTTATGAGGTTTTCCTGTAGAAGTGGACCATATGTGGCTGTTGAATAGTCTGTGTACCTGACTCATTTGCCTGTAGCCCCTGGTGATTTTCTTGTGGCGTAGACTGATTTAAATAGATGCCTGCCTGCAGCCCAAGAAAGGGAGCAGGGCAGTTGAATCAGAATAGTGAAGTTTTTTCTTTTGGAGTTGCCAGCTCTTTTTCTTCTTCCTCTTTTCTTTAATTATGCTCATGAAACACTTCTGGAAGCAGCAGTCAAGAAATCAAACGACATGCTGCATTAGGAAAATTTGCTTCAAAAGATCTCTTTAAAATATTAGAGCAACGATGTCACTAAGGTGCACTTGACCCAAGCCATGAAGACCCCTCAACAAGATAGATTGACACAGTGACAGTAACAGTGGGCTGAAACATAGAAACAGTTGTGAGAATGGTGCAGGACTGGGCAGTGTTTTGTTATGTTGTGCATTGGACTGATATGAGTCAAAACCAACTTGACGGCACCTAACAATGATCACCGAGGAGTCTCCCCTCAACTAAAATTTTATATCTGGAAAGAATCAGAAATGCATCAATAATAAGGTTTTATATGTGAGTGGGTGTGTGTGTGTATATGTTGTTGTTGTTAAGTACCTTGAAGTTGGTTCCGACTCACAGTGACCCTGTATAGGGTTTCCAAGGAGCGGCTGGTGAGTTTGAACTGCTAGCCTTGTGGTTCAAACCAACCTTGTGGTCCAGTGCTTTATCCCACAGTGCTACTTACACATATACTCACAAACATATTTTTAAATACCCATTTGAGTGGGTATTTCAAAATTTAGCAATACAAAAATTCAGGAGACAGAGAGCTAAAATATAAATGTTCAAGAGATACAGAGGTTTAGCATGAAGAAAATAGGAGATCCAAGGGTTATAATATAAAAATCCTTTCTTCTAACTCTTAGTCTCTCTAGGGGGAACCATTGGTACAGTTTTTTATATATCCTTACTCATTCCCTTCAAGTCCCTAATAGGACAGCACAGAACTGCCCTGTAGATTTTTCAAGACTGTAATCTTTGTAGAAGCAGACTGCCACATCTTTCTTCTTGGAGATACTGGTGGGTTTGAACTGCCACCCTTAACCACTGTGTCACCAGGGCTCCTTTATCTAGCCTTATAGAAGCTAATTAATTATATTAATTATATTTAAGGTATAGTTTCCCTAGTGCTAGAGCATCCTAGAATTTAAGCTCCTACTTAGTTTAAGCCAAAGGAAGAACTGCTGGTAGCATTTCAGGGGACTATCATTGGAGAGCATTAGCTGGATAAATGGGTTGCAGGAGCATTCCTTTGTTGAAACTAAAAATCCTGGAACCATGTGTTTCTTCATGACTGTAGTCTACAACTGTAGGCATTCACCATGCACAGTGAATTGTCGCCATCTGGAAAAGGAGCACACCACACTGCTGCTGACATTTATAATACAGTGATTGTTTGACCAGGCTCTTCCCTTTGTCTCACAGGTGAACAGTCTGCGCATGGCGGACCCTGTGGAGACCATGCTGCAGCTCCAGGACTGCAGCATCTTCCTCAAGATCATTGACACCATGTAAGTATGCACCCTCACGTTTCTCCAGCCTCAAAGCTTCCTGCTGGGGGTGTTGTGAAGTGCCATCTTGTCAGTTCCGACTCATAGAATTTCCAAGGTGCAGCTGGTGGGCTTGAACCATCGACCTTGTGGTTAGCAGTCCAGTGCTTTTCTTACAGCACTACACCAGGACTCCTGCATTTGCTTCCTTTCCTTGGTGACAGCTGTGATCACCAACCATGGTCAGGATTGGCACGTCAGAAGCCATTGTGGAGCCCAGAGACAAGAACAACATTGATCTCATCCTCCCATCTTTGTGCCTTTAGCTATGGAAGAGGTTATTGTCCCATTCTAAGGCTTCCTCCTTTTTGTTTTTGGTTAGATAAATTGTATTGCATCAAAAATATCACTGATGTTGTTGTTGTTGTTAAGTGTGGTCCAGTCGACTCAGACCCATAGCGACCCTGTATAGGGTTTCCAAGGAGCAGCTGGTGAGCTTGAACCACCAACCTTGCAGTTCAAACGACTTTGCAGTCTGACGCATTAGCCAACAGCACCACACCATTATATCTTACTCATTGGCCTGTTGGACGGTTCCTTTTTCAGACACATAGATACCAGCCAAAAATTTTCTGATCTTTGTTTTTAACTGTTGTGGCTTGCTGAATTAAAGCAGCTGAATTTAATACAAGTTCAATGTCATTTCCTTCAAGAATTAATTCATCTTTCTGGGCTTGAGTTACTGCACAAGCAACACTTGCCCTCATCCATGTCCTACGGTTGTATTTTTCACCCAAGAAGTTTCAGATTTCAACAAGAGACCCGCTTTCTTGGATAACACCGTTGATGGGGGGAAGTAAGCATACACAGACCTCACCTTGTAAGGAAGCCCAGTGTAACACCCTTGATCATATCCTGCACATGACTACAGATAGAGTGAACTGGAGCTAGTTCCTTCCTATTTCCCCACCATTTGTCAACACGAGACTTCTTCTTTTTCTTTCCAAGGAGACTGAGCTCTACATAGATGTGATTGAAGTCCCTCTGTGGTTCCTCTGGGGCCCTTTACAATTACTGTGTGTCCCTTCAATCTGGTTGTTAAGAATGGTCTTCATTCTCGAAGACTATGCGAGGAGGGGAGAGGGGGAACTTAAGGCTTCCTCTTCTTCTTGCAGAGTAGCTTCCAGTTCTCTGTACTCTCACACTGTTTCCAGAGCCTGTTTTAGGGCTCCCTGTCAAGCTGTCTGCATGAGTGTGTGCTACAGCCCTCTAGTCATCCACAACCCCTCTCTTTGTACCCTAGGGGATGAGGAGATGGTAAGGGAGGCTCTTACACTAGAGGGAAATAGAGGCATCCGTTGTTGGGGGCTCTAGCACCTGTTTCGTATCACAGCGACTGCATTTTACAGAGCAAAACTGCCCAGTAGTGTTTTCTAGACTGTAACCTTTACGGGAGCAGATTGCCAGTTCTTCCTGTGGCGCTGCTAAGTAAGTTTGAACCTCAAACCTTTCAGTTATAAAAGTCGAGCACCTTAATCATTGCATCTCCAGGATTCCTTAAACAGCAACTAGATATTTCATATCTAACCTGTTAGCACAGATAATGTCCCTTTCTAAACTATTATAACATTTCTGGGTTTTACTTATAACTTTTACTTTTAACTTGCTTTTGTGAGGTCATTTGATAAAGTTTACTGCTGTCATGTGGCCAGGATTCTAGTTCAGTGTTTTTACTTTTTAATCTGTGTCTTTAGCACATGTTCCCTTTGAATATCACAGTTATCTGGAAATTCAATGGAGTGGAGCCTCTTCCTCATATCTGAAACGAAGCAAAGATCTTTCAAGCTATAACTTACAGTTATTTTATTAAGCCTGTGTAGTTTGTCCTTTTGCATGTATCTGTCAACTTTCAGGAATTAGGGAGAACAGAGCTAACCTTCTTTCAACTTCTTCAACCTATGTTGTTGGTAAGTGCTGTCGATTCGGCTCTGACTCATAGTGACCCTGTATAGGTTTTACAAGGAGACAGTGATGGGCTTGAGCTCCCACCCCCTGCATTTTTTTTCTTTCTGTAAAGGAAGGTAAAACTCAGAGTAGATGATAAACTCCAGGACAGACTGAGCTGTTGTAGGGGTTTATGACCCACACCTGGAACAAAGTAATTCTGTGAGGGAATGCAGTCTCCTATTTGTAGGCAACAGCTGCTTTATGGGAGCTGAAGGTAGAACTGAGTTTATCAAAGATTGGGAATGTTTGTGAATCATCTTGGGGTTCTCCACACCTACCTTAGGATATTACATTGATGACTTTGTTTTTTTTAATTATACACCAGAATTTTATGTATTTCTTTTTGACTCCTATTATTCCTCTGGTAGTGTAGTGGTTACAAATCGGGCTATGAACCACAGGGTCAGCAGTTCGAAACTACCAGCTGTTCCGTGGGAGAAAGATGAGGCGTTCTGATCCTGTAAAGATTTAGAGCCTCGGAAACCCTGTACAGGGTCGCTATGAGTCAGAACCGACTCCAAGGCACATAGCCATGATCATTATTCCGTGAATTCATAGGGAATAGGTTCCAGCTGTTTAGGTCCCTTTCTGTTAGTTCTCTAAAAGTATGCTACTCTGAGTATGCAGTCTAGCACTTCTGTTGAACTCAGATAGCTTTTCTTTTTGGTGGTCTTTCTTTTTCTGGTTATTTTTCTTCACAAATTTCAGGAAACTGTCTTGCTCTTAGACTGTTCAGTACATTGATTCTCTTGGCAAAAATCTTGCCCTTAGCTTGTTTGCAACAATGTGAACAGCATGCTGGGTAAACTCAGTAGACTCTCCCAGTTCTTCCATGGTAACAGTGGGGCATTCCTTTTTAACAGTGTAATTTCCTTTATATCTACAGTATCAAATTTCTTGTAGAGTCACATATGTGACTGAGGAACAACTACATGATTTCTAAAAGGCCTTGAGAACATACAGTGTTGTCTCTCTTCTTTCCTTTTGTGTTCGTCATTTTAGTGCATTGCTACAAGATATAATACATCTGCTAAACCAAACCCATCACCATCAAATCAGCTCAGACTCTTAATACCCTGTATAGGGTTTCCAAGGCTATAAATCTTTATAGGAGCAAAAAGCTTCCTCTTTTTCTCCTGTGGAGCAGCTAGTGGGTTTGAATTGCCAACTTTATGGGGAGCAATTCAGTGCTTATCCTACAGCTCCACAAGGTTATTGTTGTTGCTAAGGGCCGTTGAGTCAGTTCCAACTCATAGAAACTCTGTAGGGGTTTCCTACGAGTGACTGGTGAGCTTGAATAGTTCTGGCTAAAAGGACAATTAGGTTTTTATGAATGTTTGTTAAATGAATAAATAAAGGTATAGCTGGTATTCTTCATCAGCAGTCTAGTGGGACTGGGTAGCCCAGGACACACATGGGTTTGTTAGAGTGATTTTGTGGTGGTTACGTGCCGTGGAGTTGATTCCAACTCATAGTGACCCTGCACAGGGTTTCTGAGGCTGTAAATCTTTACGGGAGCAGAAAGCCTCATCTTTCTCCCGCAGAACAGCTCTTAGTTTCAAACTCATGACCTTGATGTTTACAGCCCAATTAGTAACCACCACGCTACCAGAGCTCCTTTTCAGATTTTTTTTTTTTTTTTTTAAGTCCCTATGGCTGTAACTAGCCTTGTTGTTATTAAGTGCTGTTGAGTCAGTTCTGACTCATAGCGACCCTATGTAGAATTTCCGAGGTTGTGCATTTTTGTAGGAGCAGAAAGCCTCCTCTTTCTCCCATGGAGTAGCTGGTTGGTTTGAACTGGGAACGCAGTCCAGTGTTCCCTGTCACTAGCCTTAGCACCTCTGAAGGAAATCATGATTCCTAATTTGGTACCAAAACCCACTGCTATTGAGTCAATTCTGACTCATTAGGTCCGTGGTTATTAGTTGAATGCGTAACCATTTTCACCAGCTGGGACTCTGTTTTGGTACAGGCACTATCATTTTCTCTCCCAGTTATCTAGTAGGACATCTAAACACCCTTTCTTTCCTTGGCATTGATTGCCAATCAGTCACCATCCTCTCAGTTTGCCTTCTAGAAGATTTTCGCATCCCTTCCTCCTCATTCAGGACATAAAGCTCTGATGTCCTTCTTCTCTAAATCTTCACTTATTCCAGCCTGTTCCTATACATGTGATCTCAGTAATCTTTCTCAAACTATGCTTTCTTTAATGATAACAGTACTCAGCTGGGGAACCTTGATAACTCTTTATTGGCAGTAGGTTGAAACCTAAAATCTTCAGCCCTCATGTTCAAGATCATTCATCAGGGATCCATCTTTCACTAATCTTATTTCCTCCTGTTACTTAACATGCGTACCCTGCCTCAGCTCGTATAGTCTTTGTATGGAACCTGTGCTTGTGGTCACCACGGGACTTTCTGACTTTTGCTGTGTTTCTCTCTCTCTCTCTCTCTCCATATATATATATATATATATATATATATATATATATATATATATACACACACACATACATACATATATGTAAAAGTGTTGTTGTTAAGTGCTGTGGAGTTGGTTCTGACTCATAGCAACTCTGTATAGTGTTTCCAAGGAGTGGCTGGTGAGTTTTAACTGGCACTTTGCATTTCAAACCAACCTTGTGGTCTAGTGCTTATCCTATGACACCACACCAGGACTCACTCACTCACTCATTCTCTGTGTGTGTGTGTGTATATATATGTATACATACATAAACTTTTTTTAATGTTTTATTGTGAATTATGTGATAGTTTACATGGGAGAACATTAGCTTTACATTCATTCTATCAGATATCATTTCATTGCCATGGTTACAGTCCCCTCCATGCATCATCAAACAACCAAAGGGTAGACCCTGCAAGCCTGCCCCCCTGGTCGTCAGCACACAGCCCCTCTCCCTCTCTGGTTTTAGAGTCCCGAGCCGCTCCATCTCTCCATGTCATCGTCTCTGCCTCCATCTCTGGCATCACTGTTTCTCTTCGTAGGGTTCTGCA